ATTATCGAGCTCTTTTAAATGCGACTTTTCTATTGTTTTTAAGGTGTGTTCATCTATATGAGAATCTAAATGAATTAAGAATATCATATATTTCATTTGTTCAATTCCTGTATTTCCAAATATTTAGGTGCTAGAAGGATCTTTTTTTTTACCCATCTCATTCTTTTTAAAAAGAGTCTTTCAAAAAATAAAATGGATTATTGATGTAACTTGATATTTTAAAATTAGCATTTGAGCAATTTTTGGATATTATCCATAATAATTAAGAGATTGATATATTTAATCAGCCATTTTTAAACAATAACTGTTATCAGGTGATGTTAATTTTTTGGGATTTTGATAATCTCATTGGTGAATATAAAGATGATGAAGATCCTTTTGGATGGGGATCAGGTGAAATACCTTAATTTTTAGTTCATAAAAAGGAGAGAAAGGCACATAAAAATACACATGCATTTATTCAAATAATGAATGGAAGCAAATTATCAAAATTCAAGAGTGTATAAGTTATTATTGATAAATAGAAAATTAATAAATTGATTTCAATGGCAACTGAAATGTAGAATAATTAGGATGAAAATACATAGAAACGTAGATAAAGAAAACTTGAATTATGTGATGAAATTATAGATGAATTAACAGATATGATTTTATTTTTAGAAAAAGTGATGAATGATTATGTAATAATGTATTAAATGTATTAGGGATATCAAAATGAAATCTATGAATTATTTAAATAAAAGTAAAAATAGATTTAAGAAGTTGCAATTAATTGTGGTTAAAGAGTTATCAATTATCAAGATGTGAGTTTGATAGAAGAAAAGAAATCCTAGGAAAAGATTAAGATTTAACATTAAATAAAATCTAAGAAAAGAAATCCAGTTAGTTTTTTACAAATTGTAATGGATGATGAAGAAAGCTAATAACATCAATTAGAATACTAAAAATAAATATTATAGAGTTAAGGAATGTTAGGATTCTTAAGAGCATCAGGTAAACAAGTAAAATTGATATAATGATATTTAATAAATATATATATATATATAAATATTAATTGATACATAACAATTATTGTATTATATTTTCATTTCCAGGTTGACATCTAGACTATTTCTTCAGCAACAGATGGATGTATTCCTACAACATTATCAAGATCACTTTTCTTTGCTTTTAATTTGATAACAACACCAAATCCTTATGTAACTTCTGCAGCATCAGGTCCTAAATAATGGAATCCAATCACAACATCATCTTCTTTTTTTACAATTAATTTAGCATAACATGTTCCCTTTCTATTAGCAAAGTTCCAAAATAAAGGAGTAAATTCAGATGCAAAAATCTTAAGATTTTCTCTTCCAAATTTCTTAACAGCCGCTTCTTCAGAATATCCAACACATCCATATTCTAAAGGTGTAAAGACAGTTGTTGAAACATCTGAATATTCCATTACTTAATTTCCATTAGAGTACAATCTTTTTATTAATCGTTTACCNGGTGAAATAGAAATGCAAGAAGATCATAGTGTGTTATCATAGGCGAAATAGAAGATCATTGAGGCAAGACAATTTATTGAGAGTTTAGATGAAGGTTAATTATGTATGAAATTAATTCTTAGAACTTGAGAAAGAATAATAAAATGAATAAAATAAAGAGAATGTTCCTTAAATTGAAGATTAATAGACAATTTAAGAAGTTGTTTAAGAATAGGAAAATACAGAAGATGAATAAATAGATGAAGAAGATGATGATGATGAAGATCCTTTTGGTTGGGGATCAGGTGAAATACCTTAATTTTTAGTACATAAAAAAGAGAGAAAAGCACATAAAAATACACATGCTTTTATTCAAATAATGAATGGAAATAAGTTATCAAAATTCAAGAGTGTATAAGTAATTATTAATAAATAGAAAATTAATAAATTGATTTCAATGGCAACTGAGATGTAAAATAATTAAGATGAAAATGTATAGAATCGTAGATAAAGAAAACTTGAATTGTGTGATGAAATTATAGATGAATTAACAGATATGATCTTATTTTTAGAAAAAGTGATGAATGATTATGTAATTATGAATGATATTTATATATTAGGGATATCAAAATGAAATTTATGAATTATTTAAATAAAAGTAAAAATAGATTGAAGAGGTTGCAATTAATTGTGGTTAAAGAGTTATCAATTATTAGGATGTGAGTTTGATAGAAGAAAAGAAATCCTAAGAGAAGAAAAAGATCTAACATTAAATAAAATCTAAGAAAAGAAATGCAGTTAGTTTTTTGCAAATTGTAATAGATGATGAAGAAAGTTAACAACATTAATTAGAATACTAAAAATAAATATTATAGAGTTAAGGAATGTTAGGATTTTTGAGAGCATCAGGAAAATAAGTAAAATTGATATAATGATATTTAATAGTTATTGTTGATTCATAATAATTATTATATTGTACTATATTATATTTTCATTTCCATGTTTACATCTACACAATTTCTTCAGCAACAGATGGATGAATTCCTACAACATTATCTAGATCATTCTTTTTAGCTTTTAATTTAATAACAACACCAAATCCTTAAGTAACTTCAGCTGCATCTGGTCCTAGATAATGAAATCCAATAACAATATCATCATCTTTTTTAACAATTAATTTAGCATAACAGGTACCCTTTCTATTAGCAAAATTCCAAAATAAAGGAGTAAATTCAGATGTAAAAATCTTAAGATTTTCTCTTCCAAATTTCTTTACAGCTGCTTCTTCAGAGTATCCAACACATCCATATTCTAAAGGTGTAAAGACAGTTGTTGAAACATCTGAATATTCCATTACTTAATTTCCATTAGAGTACAATCTTTTTATTAATCGTTTACCACACATTATAGCAGTTGGAGTTAATTCCAATCTTCCTTATACACAATCTCCTATTGCAAAAATATTTGGAACTGATGTTAAATCTGATTCATTAGCTATAATTTTTCCAGATTCTTTATTTGTTTATACACCAACCTATTCCAATCCTAAATTTTAAGTATCTGCACTTCTTCCTATAGCTAGTAATACTGTATCATAAACATCACTTTACTCTTAACCATTTAATAACCATTTTACTAATCTTTTACCTTCTACATCTTCTATTGAATTTGGAATTGTTCCTCTAATAAATTTTGTTCCTTAGATTTTCATAAATTCACCAATCCTTTCAGCCATTTCTTAATCAAATCCTCTTAAAAGAATACTTCTAACCATTACTGTAACATCATAACCTAAACCAGTTAGAAATCCAGCACATTCTAATGCTACATATGATGCTCCAACTACTAATGTTTTACCTGGTGCTTTTTCTAAAAGATATTATTTTTAAAATATTACTTAAAGAAAATAAATCATCTGAAGTAATGGTTAATTATTTAACATTTGGAATGTCATTTGGAAATGAAGGTCTAGATCCAACTGCAATAACTATATATTCTGCAGTTACAAATCCAGATTAACCATCTTTATCTATAAGTTCTATAGTATGATCATCCTTCAATTTACCTAAAATATATGTCTATATATATACCTAATTTATTATAATATGTAATTCCATTAGTAGTGACTAACCAATCATCATTAGCTTTATTAATTCCTTTGACTTATCTTTATACTTCATTGACTAATGTATTCCAATCATGATTTGAATGAGGATCAATACCCTACCATCCAGTTGCTGTTAATTCATGTCTTATTTCTCCAATCAATGCTGTCATATGCATTAATTTTTTAGGAATGCATCCAACATTAGGACATGTTCCTCCAGTTCCCCATTAAGTTCCATGTGGACTTGGTTTAATATAATCAGCTAATCCTACTCGCTTACCTAACATTTAGGCTTCATCAACTACTGTCAGACCTCCTGAACCTCCACCTATAACAAATATGTCATATTGATATTATGGATTCATTGACAATTTTATATTCAAAATTCTTTGCAATTTATTTAATAATCATTCAATCATTTTTTTCCTTTTCTACATATCCATGCTGTGGTTGCAATTACAACTGGCCATTTAATTGGTGCCATTAATTTATATATTATATAAGCTGCTGTTGGTGTACCAAAAGTTTCAATCTTTTCCCATTTACCTTATGTTGTATCACATCCTAACCTAATGTAAAATAAAACACAATAACTTTTCTCCAATTTATTTGACATCAACTCCTTACTTCAATGCAAAATAGACTAGTCCATAATTGGCTAATGAGATTGAAAAATAAACAGTCAATCCCAATTTACCATATGTAGCAAAGAATTGTTTAGCTTTTTATTACATTTATATATATTAATTTGTATAAATAATAGAGAGATTATAGACATAAATAATTTTATTTTTGAATTAGAATTAGATTAGTGTGACAATTAATATTTATTTATATTTAACAATAATATTTTTATCGAAATAAATAATTGATGTAAGGAAAGCATAATTTTATATTCTCATTAGATGGAGAGTAAAAATCATTCTTTGTTTCAAATTTGGATGTCTCATCATTTTGTCGTTTAATACGTTCAGCATTTTAAGTTGATAAGAGTATAACAGCACTATAAGATGCGTAAGGTAAATGTAATAATAAGATAGGAAATATTTGTGATTTACATTATTTCTGCAATAATCTACATGCTCATAAGGATAAATTTTATATAATCTTAACAGAATAAAAGAAAATAGATAGATAAAATAGAAAATCTAATAAAAGTAAGAATTCAAGAGTATAAACAACAAATGAGGAACCTTGTTATTTTTTTGATTTTTTAGCATTCTTATAAGAAATTTAACAAATTCGATTTAGGTAATAATTATATATCATGTAGTCCTTAACATCCTGTTTTAACAATAGTGCTTGTATTTGATAATGAATATTAAGCAGGTCTTTTTGGTTAACCTATAGTAATGAGAATCTATAAAGCATTTGGATTTCTCTAAGCCTATTACACAGCAGTAGAAGAAGAGGAAACAGATTCATTGTTATTAACGGTTTTTGAAAATTAAATTCTTAAACATGAAATAGAAATGAAGATTAATCATTCAATAGCTGAAGATGTATGCTATTGGATTGAACAATTATTATGTGAAGAAGAAGAACCTGAACCTGTTTTATAGGGTAGTTTTGCTACTCCAAATAGTAATGCAGTAAATAATAATATCCCATTGATTGTTACAAGAGGAAATGAAAAATAGATTTTATAAGTGGAAGCCAATGATAATTTTCATTCTAGTCAAGGCAAAAGAACACATGGGTATAATTTGTGTTAATAAGTGTAATGAGGGTAAAAAAGGCTGTAGACAAATTTAGAAATCGATTTGAATCCAGAGAATATGAATACCTTTTAGGATTAATTATAGGCTAAGATTAATCAGTCTTTGCTGCATATCAATTATTTTAAAAATAATAAGATGATGAAAATTTCATTAGAAATCTTAAATCCCTCTTACCTTAAGATGATAACAATAATCTTTCATTGTAAAAATGTAATCGTTTTATTAATAGTTAAAACAATCTCAAATTCATAACAAGTCCTAGTCGTAATGATTTTCATCAATCAGTTAATTTCCCTTATGATTGTAATCCAACTCCAGGTCTTCGATCCACTGTTACTATTATTGATTAATTACTTAATTCTGGAGATTTAGATTTCATTGAATTTGGAATGATGAGAGATTTAAGAATGGATAATGATTTAGATGAATTAGTCAAAAGTCTCATTGATTATCCATAAGATGTATTATAATATAACTATTTTAATAAGGTATTACTCTAAATTGTAAGATAATATTTATAAAGCTAATTTCAATAAGAAATAATTAAAAATTTCAATTCTCATTAAATTGAATACTTTCTATCTGAATACGCTAATAAATAAAACCCTATTTATGAAGGTTTCCAAAGATTCGCATAAAATGGTTAATTATAAGATTTATTTTAACTATTGAAAGACAATGTTGGATAATTAGAATAATAATTGAGAGAAGAAAACAGCTATTCTTATTATTTAATGCATAAAAGAAGAAATGATGAAAATTTTCATTTCCATTTGAATTTACCTGAAATCAATTAATAAGAGGAAAGAAAATTAAGTGTAGATTCTTAATTGTTAGAAAACAAAAAAGAAATCAATTTTATTGATAAATATCATGTTAAAGTATTACAAAAATACAGTAATGAAGATTATGAAAAACTATTCATGACTGTTTATGATTAATGTAGTAAATTTTGTGATGAACATGAAAAAGCTAAATTACATGGATTCTTTACAGTTTAAAATTAAAGATTATTAGAAATCTTAGATAAATATGGATAAAGATATGATATAAATTCTATTAAATCAGATATTAATGATTTATTGACTTTGTAAAATAAAAAAATTGATGATATTCCTTCACCTACTCATGGTGCTGTTATTGAACCGAAAATGCATAAATATTAAAATTTCAAATTTATTATTAATTTTTTATATGAAATTGATAAAGTCATTAGTTTAAGATAAGCAAAAGCCTTCTATTATTTATATTCAATAGAAGATATGTCTGTGATGGCAGCTTATGAAGTATATTGCGAAACTAAAGAATAAGATGAATTTTTGAATACTTTGTATCTCATATTTAAGGTGTATTCATCTTCAGCTAGATTTGATTTTATTGAAATTGAACAATTTGATAGTTTGATTGAATAATAATTGACTATTCTATTTGCCTATAGAAGATGTCTAAATTAAGAACAAAGATTAGCTTTGGAATAAGTATAAATTAAATAATATACCTAGAATCTGATATCATGTGATAACACACTATTGAAACTTTTTAGAGATTTTCTTCGATAAAGAGATTAAAGAGTATTCATTTAAAAGTTATCAGATTTTGCAAATAGTCAAATTGAAAAGCAAAAAGACAATTCATCAATGGATCCTTATATGAAAAAAATTGATCAAAATAATTAACATAAGGATCTAATAAAAGATATTTGTGCAAAATTTTTAAAATCAAAGATAAAATAAATAGATTTGTTGATGGAAGCAATAGATAAAGATAATATAATGATAAAATCTTCATTGGAAGTCTATGATTTTAATTTAGATAAGTAGGATTTAGTAGAAAATATATAACTAATATATAATTACATTTTGAAATCAAATGTAAAAAGTATATTGAAAGCAAATTTAATATAATTATGTAAAAAATAATAATAAATGAATAATAATTAACCTACTTATTAAGAAACATTAATTAAGATGAACCAATTTTGAAGGGTGCATTTGAGTTATATTTCTAAACGAAGGATGATGCAGAACTAAAGGATACTATTAGTAGAATACTGAAATTTAGCAATATATGATAATTATTATTATATGTACAAAGTTGAACTAGTTGATTCTTCAGAATTCAAGGATCGTTCTAAATACTATAAACACTTATTGAAAACATATTGTTAATGGAGTGTACTAAAGTATTTGGTTTATAGTATAATATGGTTGATTGGGGGAAGAGTAAGATAGATAATATAATCTAGAGATTTCTAAAGTATATTCTATACAAGGATTGTATGTAATAGTGACAGGATTTGTATTAATATTCTCTAATTTGGGGACAAGAGAGAAAGGAACTTTGAGTGCATACAGCATATTTAATAAAGGATATAAAAAGTTGATGGGATAAATGACTGAAGAAGATGTGGCAAATATGTATAATATGGGAGGAGGAAAGAAAAAGGAAGATCTTAGTGATGAGGATGATGAGAAGATATCAAAAGATTTTGAAGGATTATCAATGGAATAAATGATGGCAAAATTAAGCAAGTTGGGGAATAAATAATGTTTTTGTAATTCAGGAAGGAAATATAAGAAATGTCATTATTATATACATTAAAGAATTAAATAGTAAGAAGATGAAGAGAGAAGAAAGGGAATTAAAAAAAATTGATAATATTATAAATGATTAATTCTTTTTTGATCACAACTAAGACATTTTAAAAAATGTAATAAGACTCAGTTTCAATAGAAAATGTTTTGATTATTGATCATAATAATCTTGATCTTCGTTTGAATTTTTAAAAGAGACAAGTTCAATTACATTCAAAAAAAAGATCCATAACATAAATAATTTGAGATTTTAGAACAACCCAAGAACGAATAAAGTTCTATAAACTTATTTTAAAAATAATTAATAATATAATGGCATATTAATCATAATGCAATTCATAAATGAATACTAATCATTCTTTAAAAGTGCCACTTGATTCATTATTAGGAAAAGTTGTTTGTAAAAATTACCTTATAGTTTCTAAAATCAATGAAGGATCTTTTGGTAAAGTGTATAAAGCTATCCATTAAATTAAATAAGATTATTATGCTGTTAAAATTGAAGCTTAAGAACATCGATAAAAAAAGGGAGAGACCTTAAGATTAGAAGCTGAAATTCTCAAAAAACTAAATGGAGAAAAGGGAATTCCAAGATTATATTATTATATTGAAGATTAAACTTAAAGAGTACTTGTGGAAACTTTATTAGGTAATGTTTTTATTCATCAATAATATTAGGAAAGAACCTTGATGAATTTTATAGTTTATGCAACTATAAATTTTCTTTGAAAACTGTGCTTCTCTTTATGGAACAGGCAATTAGTCGATTAGAATATCTCCATTCTTAAGGGGTAAATAATTAAATGAGATAAAGTGATCTAGTATATTCACAGAGACATTAAGCCAGAGAATTTCATGATAGGAATTCCACCAAATGAAAATCTTATTTATCTCATTGATTTTGGACTCAATGCTCCTATTTATGATTCCCAAAAGAGACTCTTGCCAAAATTAAAAGGTTAACCATTAGTAGGAACTGCTCGTTTTACACCTATCTGTTCTCATTAAGGATATAGCTAAAGTAGAGCAAGTGACTTAGAGTCTTTAGGTTACTTAGCAATATTCTTTCTTAAAGGTTCCTTACCTTGGATGAAAGTTGAAGCATAAACTAAAGAAGAACGTTTTTATTTAATAGGATAAAAGAAGATGAGAGAAACTACCTCGTGAATTTGAAGGATATTTTAATTATATATTTAATGTTTCATATGATACAGAACCTTCATATAGTTATTTGAAAAAGTTAATCAAAGGATTAATGCATAAAATGTAATATAATGATGCTGTTTTTGATTGGCAAGAGATTATTAAAAAAGAAGAAGAAAGCAAAAAATACTCTAATAAAAAAATTAAATTAAATGCTTAAACTTAATAATTCAAACCCATCGAATCAGAAGATGAATAGGATAGTCCCAAAGTTGCTATGATGCAATCTAAAGATTCCAAAAAAAGTTCTTCGAATTTTGTTAAAAGAAGTATTACTGATCATCTGAATTTCTCAAAATAATAGAGTATGAATTAGTGTAGCAATATTGAACTTTTGATCTCCCAAAATGAATTAGTCAATCTTAGATTAAAGTAGAAATTATTATTAAATAATACTCAAAATAACATTCAAGAAGAACCTGAAAATTATGGTTTTGGTGTTATGAATGAATATTATCCATATCCTACCATGCAATAATAAATGGATCAGTTGATTACAATTATTACTAAGTTTATAATTAATTAATGAAGAAATCTCCTCATCTTAAACTATAAATTATTAAAATGCGTCCTATTGTTTGTAATACAGAACTAGATTTCATTATACCAACTAATACTGAAAAAAAAGTATCCTTAAGTAGAGTAGTTAATTTTAAATTAGAACGTAAAATGAAAACTAGCGATGAATATGTTAAAAATGCACGCTCTAGATATTAAGAGCTTTTTAATCAATAAGAAGCTAACCTAGAATATTTATATGATTAACTTACAGAAAGAATTGAAAAATATACTCTTCAAAAATAAAAACAATTAACAGGCAAAGCTAAATATGCTTGTGATTACAATTTTAGATGGAAATAAAGACTTTAAGAATAAAAATGGTTGGATATTTAAATGAGTAGGTTTGTCAGCTGAAAGAGAATTTCTATTTTAAGAGATGCATTTTTAAGAGTTTTAAAAAAAAACATTCTATCTGCTATTTCATTGAAATGATTATCCTAATCGTTTAGAATATGCTTATGTTATTCCATAATAAAAAAAATTAATATAAATTATAATATCATTCTTTAAAGTGAATTCAATTTCTGTTAAAATATATCATATTATTATTTAAATATAATATTGATGTTTTAAACTACTAATTCTAATCAAACATCTATTAATCTAAAATCTTAAGTAACATTGACAATTTTATTAACCATATAATAAATTACTCATTTTAGCAATTCTTATTCATGACTATTTAAAGTATGGCAATTTTATATTTTTCATTATTTTAATTAATAGACATTTATGAACAAAATTCACATAATATTATAAGAGTATATTCTTAATTCTATGTATTGATGTTAATTCTGTTCTATCAAATTAGATTAGAATGGGTATTCGATATAGCAAGTTTTAAATCTAATGTATCGATTCTTAATTATGCATAATTTTCACATATATGTTTTATTTATTCTATATACTTAAAGATTTAAGCTATGCAATATTGATATGATTTAAATTTTGTTGATTTTACCTCTATTACAATCAAATCCTAATTTCCATTAACATTTTGTTTTTGTCTTAACTTTAATTCAAAAGATACTTTTAATTCATCATATAAAACTGAATATAAAAGTAATAGAAATTCAATATTATTTTTTTAAAAAAAGGAATGGAATAGAAAAAAGATTTGTATGATGTGTTAGCTTCAGCAAAAGATTTAGACTAATAAATATACAAGGTGATAATAGAAATTTTGAGAAAAGAAAAGGTTTCAAACTGTTTAAAATATCTTTCAGATAATGAAAATCTCTCAAGTTGTTAATAGTCCATTTTAAAAGTAATGAATAAAGCAAACATCGAATAAGAAGAGGAGATGAGAAATAAATTGAAGATAATGATGGATATTTTGAAATCACTTAAAGATCATGACTTTAATCATATAAATTATTGTGAAGATCTTTATGAAGAATTTAGAAAAGATCTAATAAAATAAATATCAAATAATGATGAAATAGTCGAATTGTTAAAATTTTTAGTTCAACTTACAAGTATTGATGAAACATTTATTTAATGTGGGTCAAACGGACTGAATTTATTAGTAGGTCTGAAAGTTGATTTGACGAACCAAAGTTTTGAAGATATCAATATAAAGAATA